CTAAAGTTCAATTAATAAAAATGTGTACAAACAAGCATTACATTATGAAAGAATCTGAACTAAAATTATATAAATACATATAAGTTGCAGATCTTTTTTCAATATACACCTAAGTCTGTTTTTACACGGTCTTTTTGTACACGGTTTGAAAATTGAATATTTTTAATTTTTTTACACGATTTTATTCCATTTAGCACGATTTGAAATTTTATGTACTTAATTTTTTTTTGACAAATTTAATTTTTGCGAAGTATGTTCATATTACAAAAAAGTATTTATGAAAGGAAAAAGTCTGAAACCATCGATAGTATCGGTAGTTTTCGAACACTAGCTTAAAGATTAGAGTGCATATCTTTTTTATTATTAATTACTATGCTTGTGAAAATAAGCATTATATATTTGATTTAATAAAATAAACATGAATTCTTGTTCTTAAAAATGCTTGTTTTTCACTAATTTTAATAGGTTTTAGAGATTAGGAACGAATCACCCATTTTTGTATAAGATCAATGTCTTTTTTTACACGTTTTTTTTTTTACACGGCTTCTTCTGGAACCAATCTACCGTGTAAAAACAGACTTAGGTGTATAGATTTGTCTTTCAATTCTAAACGACTATTAGCAAAGTAGCTTTTTAAACGATCAAATATAATTTGTAGTTTGAATTTATGTATATATATATATATATATATATATATATATATATATATATATATATATATATATATAATATATAGGGCCGGTCCTGGGGTCCTCAGCGCCCGCATGCAAGATTTGCTCTAGCTTGATCATAATCAAATATTTTTAAATTCTCAATTATTTCTAACATAGGTGTAATATTAATATTTGTGATTTTCAAACATTTAACTTATTTTATATGCGATTTATTCTAAAGAGCAACCTATCGTGACAAGAGAACAAAAAATGACATAACACTCGTATTTCATGTTTTAAATTAAATTTTATTTTAGTTTATTTTTTCATTATTTACAATATCTAAAATTGAATTAAACTCCTCCTTATTGGTATCGTAAGAGCCGAATTGTATTCAGCTTTATTTTCCAATCATATTCAGAGTATCAGATTGTTATTTTAAAGTTAAACTTTTTAAAGTGTTAGTAAAGATTAGTAAAAGATGCAAAAAAAATACATATTTCCTTAACTATACTGAAACAAACAAATTATATTTGTATCTGTATTATTTCTGCTTAGTTAATAATTGTAAATAATGTGTAAAAAAATCTTAAAGATTTTTGTTCCTAAGTACATTTTGCTTTCATTTTTCATATTTGCTCCATAAACCTAACCACGCATGTCTTCAACGCTCAAAGTTCATCAGATGTGATATGTTTGCAACAAAAACAAAAGTTAGAATACAATTTTTCGGAATAAACAAGCCATTTTTTGAGCCTGACTCCCCATTTTCCATTTTCTCTATTATAATTAGTATATATTTCTTTAACAAGTTCCATTTTAACTAAATCAGCTTGCTATTTTTCATCAATAACGCTCAATAATTAATTTAAACTTTCGTAGGTTTGCTCTTACGGGATTGAACACTAAATATTTTCTTTTTCGATTCCATGTTAACTTCAAACGAAGAAAAATATTTAAGAGTACATTAAACAATAAGCAGAACAATAATTTACGAATTTGCAGAGTTATTATTTGGTTAATTGTTTCTATTGATATCACATTGCAAACTGAATATGACTCATAGTTAAGTTGGATTGTTTATCATAATCTAGTAAGTATTCAGGATTTTATATTTAAAAAATTAAAAAATAATATATTATAAATTCCATTTCCGAACCTCGTTTTGGCGCCCCCTTAAGGCGTGCGCCCGCATTTTTTGCATACATTGCATTCAAGGCAGAACCGGCCATGTATATATCTATAAATATATTTTGTAGAGCTTCGAACTAAGAATCTAAAAAGTAATAAAAAACAAAAAAGTTTTTTAAAAAACCATTTCTTTATTTACTGTCGACGTTTAAGAGCTAGGTACGTTCCATCTTCAGGACATTTGTCAAGAAACATGATCTCAATGAGATTTAAGTAAACAATATGTTTAAGAAAAGCAGAAGATGGTGAATTTTTTATATAAAATGAATAAAATTGCGAAAAAAATATAATCAAAATGAAAATGATAAAAATAACAGGGTGGATTATATAACAAAATATTAAAACTTAAATTAGAAAGTTTTAAAACAAGGTTACGGAAAAAACAGAGTTAATTACCTGTATGATTGATTATACACTAACACTTTTTGACTAAAAAAATTTTATCAAATTTTTTTTGATTTTATAGTTCTTTTCAGATAAACAAATTTTGTAATCCAATTTTTTTTTTAAATTGTCTTTTTTGTGTTTGCTATGTGAACAAACAAAAAATTATATATATAAAAACAACACGTGTTTCTTCATAAAAATTCATCCGCTCACTCAATAATCAGTTTGTTACCAAATATTCATCGCATAACATCGAGGGAATAATACTT